GAAGACGGACCGAGTTTGGTCCGAAACGTCAGATGTCTCTAATTAAAGAACATTTTATGCGTGCTCTTCCGGTTTGTGACTGAAGGCTGAAATCATTATGCTTTCCTGTATAATTCTTGCGACTTGAATGATGTTAGGTATGTACATCTTATGTAGCCTTCCACTTCGCCTTGACATGGTGCTAACTTCGATCTCGATCCTGCACTCAGGCCATGTGGTCCTACCTTTCCAATCAGTAAATATTCCCTTTTACCGTAAATCTTCCTGAATGTCTTTAGAAGTTAACACCGAATGCTCTACAATTCAGCTGTTTGTCTTCAGTAACTGTCCAGGAGAATTGTAGCAGTCATCTGTCACTTCAAAACTCGAGCGCTTCAGGGGATTTACGTTGTAGTATCCTGATAGTTCAGCTTTCTACGCCACCGGCAAGTCTAATGAATCAACGCTGCCCATTTGTCATATTCTGGTCAGTAGTGACAAACGACATGTTGTTGGCACACGCCTTCCTTAGTTCAACCCGCAATGGGTTTGAAGACCTACCATTCATCGTTTACTCTCTTGGAACCCAGCTACGATAAATTAATTTAAAGATCAATATTCCACGACTTACGACGTTATTAATGCATTGAACGGTTGCTTTGTTATTACATGGAATAACTTCGCTGCCCTATTTCCTTAAAAAATATTCACGGCTGCAGAGTTCAAAAGGTCTTCCTGCTGATGCACAAGTGATGTCGTTTCACTGTTCATAGCGCTATGCCTCTTAAAATTTAGATATTTACATAACATAATATATCAGCAACATTAAGACGATCAGCTGCTTTATACATAACCACATCGTTGCCCCCAATGGGCTGATACTTTGGTATTGCTCTATCACCCACATTCCTGTGAATAATAGAACCGTATACCCTGCCCTTTCCTTACGAAAGCAACAAAGAACAGATACACTAAAGTGCAAAACTACAAGGTACTCAATATTCATAATTTTTGGAATTCCTGGGTCTCCTCAGTATATCCGTGGATGTCCTCAACCGGGCCTTTAAAGCATTTCGTTATTTAATAGCATGTTGCATCTCTGATCGCAAATTTGACAGATAGCAATGGAAGGCATGAGATTCTCTATAGTGATGTAGTTCGCAGCAGTCGTTTCTAATGTAAAAACTACATTCCTTCGAAAAATGCAACCTCCTGTAAGAAGTGAAAAAAGCGATGTAATTTCTATGCATACAGATTTAAGGCTGTAGATAATAAAATGATACCATCTTAGCAAGATGTGGACACATCAATGTCCGGTGAAACAGTCCTACTATCAGGGCTCGTCCAATCGCCCAGTTCTCTCGCCATTAATCTCACGTCTTACACTGGTTTTCGACTGCATGTCTGAAGCGAAAAGGGAACTGCATAGTTTAATGGAAAGACATTTCATTGCAGGTAAGAAACTCGAATGTGACCGCACGAAAGTTTATCGTACAGTTGTATCGCTGATATCATACATCTTGACCACTAGCTTAAAATTTAAGAGGCGCAATTTAAGTCTCTAATCACAGTGAATGCGATGTAAAAATGAATATATGCTAGCCTTTGTATTTTGAAGCCAGCCATCCAATTTCTGCGAAGCCAACAGCCGCACTTCATCGAGACCACAGCAAGCAGTCAACGTCTTTAACAAGCTGCGAGAGGCTGCATCCGCCCTACGTGCGCACAGCTCTCCTAACAGTCTTGTCGTATAGTCATGGAGTTCCTCTGAACAGTGCTGAAACCGGGTGGTCATACGAACTTTGTCACTAGCCGCAGCTGCTACGTCACACGTTGCAGCAGAGTCTGACTTGAATGTAGCACTCTCCGTGCTGTCACGACTACGATTATCTTCATCTTCAGCTGTTTGACTGATCGATGGCAGCGCTAAAAGTAACCGAGCAATGCAATAGAGCACTGTCATGATTCTTCACAAGGATTAGCCCGGAATTTCTGTATAGAAAGATTAGGTGCCACGTCCACCAAAAGCTAGAAAATTAATATATTAGTTAACATATTTTCTCCACCTGTGCCTGCCTGTTAAGCGGAAGAGAAACACTGCGAAATGAAATGAGGCCAATGTTATCTATAAGACGAATTCTGAAGAGGCGCGTAAAGATTTGGATTCCGCTGCATTAACCAAGTAGTAGTCCATATATGATCACTCGAAGCAAACATTTAAATTCCATATTAACCAGAGGATTAGCAGGACAGCTGCTGAAGCGTCTTTATGTGAATCATCTCAAGAGAAAAATGGCCCGAATTTTGAATAGAATAACTTCAACATCACAGATCTAACAGCAAAAACGCTAATTATTCATTTTACGGCTAAGATAAACGAAGCAGCACCGGCATTTAGCTGTTTCGACGACTCTGATTATAAGTAACCAGCCTTTCGTTTTTTTTAATATCAGTTGACAGGCGACTGTAATAACAAAGCAAGTGAATTACAACGAACAATGTATGAGTTCAAAATTGGTAATATTCCTCCGTCCCTCAGATAACTCACTGTTTCGTCCAATTGTACCGGAAACATCCAGTGTCGTAATGGAACAAACTGTAATCGAGTTCCGAATCATTTAGCTTAATCGCTGAGCTTTACCCCGTAATGCGATAAAGTTTGAAAACATTTATATAACGGTAGAACTATATGCAAGAAACAAAAAAAAACTTCTCGACTGCTACTCTGTCACAGAGAAAACTTAATCGTCAGAGCGGCAGACTCCTTGCAGAAAGACAATGAATTCAACTGACAGCAATGATACTCGCCTTTCACTCGTTGAAAGTTAATGAATAGTATAACGCTGTGGAACGGAAGCAGATGTCACTGGCAACGGCCAGAGGTTTAGTTCTTAGAATAAGCTTCATAAGAAAGGCACAACAATATTGTACATTATGAATGCATAAAGAATACATTCATAATGGTAACAAACTGTAATAAGTCTTCATATACGTTTTCTCTTTCGGGAAAACCGTTCCAGTGGTTCATGGTCAAGGAATCAAGATTGCAAGCAAGATATCTTAAAGAATTACAAGCTTACCGTAAATCAGTAAACTTACGGCAGCTGTAAAAGCTTCGATTTTAAGTACCAGTTGTAGGCTGATCGGTCGATGACCGCAAATCAGCATAAATGTTGTCAATGAATCCAGCGGGTGGAAATTCTGTTCCGAAAGCGGTTTGTATATTGCGCACCAGAGAAGCTGTTTCGTTTTGATCAACCCACAAACGATCATTCATTGAGTCATCCAGATACGCCTGCAAATCCATTAATGGTCATGATATTACCGTACCCATGACTTACATGGACGATCGATTCCGGCCATGAATTTTTATCTGCGAGAGTAGCAAGCAAAATGCTGCAAATAACGCCGGGAACCAACGGATATTGACGACTGGTAGCAGTCTTAGAAACGGGCGGTTTGCGCAACAATGAAATTAGGGCCTAGAATAAGAAACGTAGTGGCAGCATAATGCCAATTGGTAAAGTACTTGCAACACGTTGTCGTTATCGAAGAGAGATGGCTTCTCCCGAGATACGTAACACAGAACTGTCGACAACAACGGATCTGGTTGTTTCGATCGGTTCTCATGGAGCAGCTTGACAGCACCACATATCATTTTCCTGGCCTTTTCAGGATCAGTGTTTTCATCCATTAAACTTTCAGCAAACTGCCAAGGTTGGACTGAAAATACGTGATTCTTGTGCTATATAGAGGAAAAAAACAGAGCAAGAATACATAAGAAGCATGAAGCAGATCAACTGGCATCAGAAACGCAACAGGCTAACCCTCCTCTTAGTCCATTGATTTATAACGGCTAAAAGCTTAGTGATTTTTCAAGAAAATACGAAAAAGCAGCTTACAAACAAAAAACGCGTAAATTATAATTAGACGAAAATTACCCTATCTTGGCAACTTTTCAAAATGTTATACTAAAATTAAGTCTTATAAAACGGTCTACCAGGCAGGTGAAATTCTCGATCACTGCTATGCTCGTGTGTGGAAAAGGCACAGAAGAAGTGGAAAACTAAGAGCGTTCACAGAGAGCTTCAATACAAGCAGCGCCAAAGAATAGCCAACAGCTGCAATACAATCCGCATGCTACATAACTTACTGAAAATCACTTAACATCTTCAATAAAACAGTCCTTCAAGGTGCTTTTTCCCTGTACGTCCATGCACTATCAGTTCATCAACATCTATGACGTAATTCCTATACAGGCCACTTATGCAGTCTTCAGCATGCATTTTCAGCGATTGCCAGGTTGGTTCGCCGTGCTATACTTTGACTAGTTCAGTGCAACCAGATAATCATCAAAGTATGTTTGCAAGCCAGAGTAAGTCATATATCGCATAATTCGTCAAACGTCATTGCGTGCTGGACTTCCTCATTGATTCTAGTTTCTTAATGGGCCATTTAAGCATACCACTGCTTAACGGTAGTTGAGCACCTGCAGTGCCACACACATCGCTTTGCTAAAGCCACATTGCGCTCATTACGAACGAATGGAGAAGTTATACATTATCTTACATACTCTGGCTTACGAAGATACTCTAATGTTTTTGCACTTGGATATAAGGAGCATCGGTAAGTAAAATATAGTTCGTGATGAGCGCAATGCACCTCTAGTGAACAGAATGATGTGAGATAAACTTGGCACTACGGGTGCTCAGACACCGTGGACCCGCGGCCTCCCTAAACGGACTTCCTTGGCAACGACATGGCATACCGAAGAAGGCCAGAAGCAGAAATTAAACAAACAAAAGTCTTAAAAAGAGTATTAAAATGCGTCCTTCCATTACCTCTACTACATTCGATAATTCGGACAGCATTAAATAGATACGATATATGCCGTGAAATCTGGTCCTGAAGCAGTCGTTCGCTATCTTATATATTCGGATATACGAACCGCTCATGCTCTACATGCGGTAAGATATAAGGAGCACCAGCTTCCGAAACATCGCTCATGATGAGCGCGGTGGCTGTAGCGGGTAAAATAATGTGAGATGAATCTGGCACCTCAGGTGCTCGAATACTATACAACCGGTCAATACTTAAATTGACCTTCACTCCGGGTCCCCATAAAACTAGGAGCAAGGGACGGCGCAAAACACTGTGAAATCTGACCATAGAAGAGCTACAATATCGTTTTACAATTATTTTTAAAAATTCATTTCATTCGTCGCTGAAATTAAATGGATTCTAATCAAAGAGTAAAAATCTTCCATATTTCTCAGCATTAGGCCACATATGTAGGATATATGTTCCATGGGAAATTCGTTTCTCTCCTCCGAACAAGACATTATTTCATCCCGTAGAGCAGCTTAATGGCATTGTAAAACATAAGAATTTAAGAAGAACGTTTAGTTATAACTATAAATTAAAAACAGCAGCAGTGATGACTCAAAGCAACTTAATTAAACCTAACAGAAAAACATACTTAAGACACAGCATCGTAATGGAACATGAAACCTGACCAATACAGCCCCGTCAGCAGAGTTCAAAATATTGTGGATTCCAGTTTTTGTCATATAAATGGCCATTAACTCTCAATAGAAACTAACGTAATGCAAAGAAACCATAAGTCACAACTGCGTTGGCCAAATATTGGTAGTACAAATTTCATAAACATGATAGTCGGATAAGAAACGGAAACAAACACAGCAAAACAGCCACGTGAAATAAATGTAACGAATTTCAGGAACAGTCGAAAATATCACGCAAACCAGCAAGTCAGAAACAGATTACTTTCTTTTTGCCATGCAGTTTCAGTCATTGTTTTAAACCAAGTACCGGGAGGGGACAGAGATACGAAGGGACATAATTTGCTACGCTTCGTGCTTTGGAGGTATCAGGTTCAAATCCAATACTCGGCTAAAGTCTTCTCTCATTATCAGAATACGAAAGCCACCCCATATATGCTTCAGCGCAACCAGTCGAAAAGCGGATAGCAGGTCGTTGGCCGCCCTCAATTAATGGGACAGGATTGCATTTTGGTACAGTGATACTACTCCTGCAAGAAATATAGCCATGTTGCCTGATGCTTAATCATTTCGGCTGCAATTTACATTGTCCCACCTGACAGCTGACTCAAAATCTACACAAGGTGTCAACGTAAACCTAAAATTTTGAAATTTACATTTGAACGGTCAAAAGCAATTATTAACAAATTGAATTGTTTAAATGACTAATTGCTTACCGTCGATAGCATAAATTTGCCACAGATCAGCCGTCTTCGTCTGTACATAAGACGCCTCTTTCGAAATCCCCGCCACATCCTTAGAAAATTTAGGCCTCTTTGGCACGACACCAACGGATGCTGAGGTAGTGCTGTCACGCTTAAAGGACGCTCCATGAGCGATGCTCTCTGGCTGAGTCGACCGCGTGCCTTCAACGAAAAACTCATCGTCATTTAAAGCCATGAAATACAATATGTTTAATGTATAAACTGTGTTTCTGTCGAGAGTTCAAAGTATAAAGAAAAAGAAAATAATTTAATTGCACAATCAGACTCTGGTAGTTTTCTCAAAAAAATCAGCATACGAATTCAGAGCTTTGTTCACCGTTGTTTGCCGTATACTAACTAAGAAAGAAAGTAGCAGTTTTAAAAATAAAGTTTATCTGACACCAAATAATATGAACATGGCTATAAAAAATATACAAAACAGCTACATGTGTTTTGTACGTCGTCCGCAGTACGCAGAAACCTTTGTAATGCATTAAACTTTCTACGCGCTATGTAACGAAATTTGTTTTTTGCATTAATGAATCAACCGGCATTGTTACGTATAGAAGAAACAACTGTAATTACTAGATATAGATCTTTTTTACACTTAATATGTGGTGCCATTTCTGCCTTCTTTTCATGAAGCTAATGGTGGCGTGTTGACCCATATATCTTTGTCATTTGGGAGGACTGACTGCTTTATTTCTAAATGGAAAGACGACTACAGTTGCT